GGTGAGATCCAGAATAACATGTATCCAACCTTTAACGCCCATATCCATTCTATTGTGACGGCTTTTCCTATAAAGCTTTTGAAAAAGGCACTCTGATTGTTTATCACAGAGGTCCGGTTGAATGACTATTCGATCTAAGAACTCGACCCATGGACCTTAAAGTTGAATTTTTGTCAGATTGTTATGGGCGACCCTCCAGCCAAGCATTCCCCAAACTAAACGAACGAATTGCCCTGGTGAGTGAGAAAATCATCCGAGCGGTAAGTTAGCCTGCCCATTCAGCGATTCCCCTTTTAACATTGCCAGTGTTTCGCGCTTTTGTCAGCAATGCCCTCTAGCGAGAATGCAATAATTCCGGTACAAGAAGATATGGAATTTTCATGGCAAAGGTCGATATTCGGATTCAGAGCACAAGAATGATCCATAGAAGGTAAAAACATGTGGTCGAATTGCCTGGACATTGCCTTCAAAGACATATGCATGGGGCTCTGCATAATTTATGCTGAAATTATGTAGTATTCTAATGAGATTCACGCTGTTAGAGCTGGATCGGATAAAATTTGTACTTTCAAGTGGGAAAGTTTTGATAAATTCCGGGGGATTTCTTGTCTGCAGCTTCAAGAAGATCAAAACAAAAGCATCTGTACTATCATATATCATCATCAAGCTTATTAGTAATTGATATTCTTTTTATTGCCTACAAAAACTTAAAAGCTAATGATGGTTATTTTTATCCGAGTACATCACAACGATAGATTTATTAGTTCGAAGCAGATGTATTTGTGACTCAGAAAAAACGAGGAACAAGAAAAGAACAAGTTTTCTCTAGATTTTTTTCTCTTCTTTCAGAGAAATAGTCACAAATGTCAAAATAAACCTACTTTTAATTAAAGCATCTAATACTTCTCAAAGAAGTATTTACCGTATCAGATTGCTTCTTTTTTCTATATTAGATTTTATAAAAGGATATATGAACGTTCTGAAAGGATATTTATGACGTTGTTCTTCCATTCTCAATCTATAGGTCGCAAAATCAAATTTTTTAGTTAACAATTTATCATAACAGCTACATGATTTGAAGGTTGATAAATAAGTCAGCATACTGCATGAATCTCATGATATCCCGCTCTTTCGAGGGGATTCCAAAAATTAATGAATACTCATAATATGCACCTTTGCACGGAAATCTTTAGTAAAAGGCGAAAGATTTTCTCGGTTAAATGCAAAGGAGCCAGAGGTAACGTTAAAGGCAAATGTGTGTGGGGCACAAGTAGTACGTCGTACCTACTGCATGTTAGCGCTCCCTGCATACCTTGGTGTGAAGAATAAGGGAATAGTCACACGTGAAAGTGTGCGTCTGTTCATGAGATGAAGTGAGAAAACAAAGTTTC